TATACACTCACATAAATAGCGTACATAAGATCAACAAACAATAATCTCCCATTCAATACCCCACATGGCTCCCCCCATACCAATTTCTGGGGCCAACACCCCCACCTACGGGTGCAGCAGCGAGCTGGCTGCTTTCCTCCAATTCAGCAACGTGACAAGCAGCAACATTTATTGTTGACCTACCCATGTGTTTTCATTCTCTAGCCCAGTTTCTGTGCCAGCTGATTGGCCCAGAGACAAGAGAATGGCCTGTAACCCATCCCATACCTCCAGGTGGACTGGGCAGGGTGGATTCTTTTTCTTCAGTAATAGATGGGCTGGCAGCAGGGAGTCATGGGTGGGATTTCCTCACACTCATCTCACCAACCAGAATTCAAAGGCCAGCTCCCCTCCCTACCCAATCCCGTATCACACAGGACTCATTGGGCTGGCGCTTTCACATTATGGCCATTGACATATTGGATGGTGCCTCCACTTCAGATTCCTTCTCATATGGCTCTTAGGTCACCTCTATTTATTGCATAACATTTTATCACTACTCCTTGATTTGTGTCCTGGGATTCCTTGAGTGTTATAATGATCATATTTAATACTGAATCAGGCAATGAGTTAAGTTGTTTAACTATATTGATTGTTATATGTATTACTTCTTCGAGGACAGTTTCCAGTATGGGAGTATTATATGTTTGGACAAATTCAATAAAGTCACCAATCCATGGTTAAGGTCTATGCGATATCTCTTCTCCTGTCCACCTTTTCAAAATGCCTTTTTTAAAGTTGTCTTCCTAGTAGAGAGCTTTGCAGTAAAATTCATACGTTTTTATTGCCACATTAAGCTAAAATAAATATTCTTGGCAAAAATATAGCTTTGGGCATCTGCGGAATATATCTTATTGGCCCAGAAATCATGGTGATGGGATTTTTAAGATATATAATTGTAACAATATGTAACTGAAATACTCTATTTAGCAAAAATAAAAACCCTGAAGAATAAGGGAAATTCTAAACTAAGTTGGTCACACCTTCAATGAACCAGAGAGCTCTCTCAGGGTGTGTCTAGACTACATGCCTCCTTCGACGGAGGCATGTAGATTAGCCAGATCGGAAAAGGGAAATGAAGCCGCGATTAAAATAATCGCGGCTTCATTTAAATTTAAATGGCTGGGGCCCGCCCC